TGAGATTATTTACTTTAAGAAGAGGTCTAATATTATTGAAAAGTTTTTATATTGTATATATTAAGTTCTTAAGAGATTATATATTATAATGAGATTTTAGGATATATCTTTCATATTTATATAATTATTATTTGTTAATAAAAGTAACATATTATTAATTGTTAGATTTAAATGCAACTTTCTTTTATTATTTTCTATTTGCAAATATTAATATTATTTTATTTATATATAAATCATATGTTTGATACATTTTTGTTATTGTTTATTACGTCATATAATTTTTTAAACACATCTTTATCTCATGATATATTATTAATTTTGTTTTATTATTAGTTTTGTTTATGATTATTTTTATTGATAAAGATAGCAGAAAAGAAGAGAAATGTAATTCTAAAGTCAAATGTATATTTTGTTATCTGTCTTAATAAACAAAAACTAATTCTTGATTGATATTTTCTTGATATATAGTTTTATTATTAGAAAGAAAAATACATATTTCTAACAAGTTATGTTATTATTATTATTATCTTGAGGTAGAGAAAAAAAGAATAAAAAATCTTCAATATTTATTTCCTTTTGTAAAATTTCTTTATGTAAAATTGTCTTGAATAATATTTTGTATAAATTTTGTATTGCAGTCTTTAATTTTAGTTTCATTATTAATAAAAAAATAAGTAAGCAAGTTGAACCTAAATTTCTTCAAAGATTTTAACAGAAGCAGATATTTTTTATTATATTTAAAATTTAGTTTTTTTATGAGAAAAAAATAGTAGAATATTTATATCCAAGAAAATTCATAATAGCCTTGTTTTATTTTTAACAAAAAGTTTGAGTGATTTAAGTAATTTGTTAAAGTGTAGTTATCTTTATTGAAAAGATATTTGAAAATTTTTAAAGAATAAATTTTTGTTATATTATAAATTTTCTATCATTTTCAAGAAAAAGAGAAAAAAGTTTTTTTCAAAATCCTTAAAATACATTATGATAGTTAAAATACATTATAATTTTTAATATAGCAAAAATTAAAAATCACATGAAATTACACAAATTCAAAAAAAATTTTTGTTTCTTATGAAAATATAGAAAAATGTTAAAGAAGATGATACAAACTTTTAAAAAAATTATATGTTAATTAATTAATTTAGACTGAAAATAAAAATATAAAGATAAAACAAATAAATTTTACTAGAATTAATAAAGACAAAATAAATAAATTTTGCCAAAATTAATAAATAAAATTTAATTGAATATAGCAAAATGTAAAAAAAATAAATCATTACTATAAAAGACTAAAACTTTTTATTCATCATCATTTAAATCACATAAGTATACAATTATACAGATCTTTTTCTTTTTTAGTAATACTTATTTTACAAAATATATTTTTGTAATTTTCATTATTATACAGTTAAAAATGTTATATAACCATAAATCTAAATATAAAAATAATTATCATTTTGACCATTTTAATTATAATAATGCATTTTAATTATTATAATGTATTTCAACTTTTAATTTCAATCATAACCTTAAAGTTAAAATATTTAACTTTTGGATTTTAATTTTAATTTTATATATAGATCTAATAGATTATATTTAAATTAGAATCTAAATCAGATTTATCAGATTTAAATTTAAATCTGAATTTAATAAATCAAATTTGATCTAAATTTGAATCTGATCCAAATCTAATAAATCTGATTTAAATTCAATCTGTCAGATTTAGATTAGATTCAAATTGATCTGAATCTATTTAAAACATTAGTTTGAAAGAATTTTCTTAATTTTGCAAATTCTTCTTAAGAAATTCTTAAAAAACAATCACAATTACAATCTTTTTATAAAAAATTAATTGCTTTTTGATATTTATTAGAATTATTATACTTATTATACTTTTTATATACATCTATTTTTATATATATAATTAGTTTAAAATGAAGTGAAGGACTATATATGTCTACACAAAGTATCCTGATGTCTGCTTGTTCAAAAATTGAGCCAATGCTGATTGGCTTTTATAATATTTTTTTAATTAAGATTATTTTAGATTTAACAACGGTTCCTGTTTTCTAGTTTTATAATTTTATATTTATTTTATAGATTTTCATTTATTTTAAAATTAAAATTGGTTTTGTGATAACAGGTAAAGAGATAAAAAAGAATTTAATTTACTTGAATCTGCAAATAAATATCAAAAATATATATTTAATAATTATAAAAAGAGAAAATAAAAATCCTTAACTGATTCTATAAAGAATAATTATATTAAATTTAAATTATTTATTATTAAAAAAAAATAAGATAAATTATTTTAAGATCTAAAATTTATTGATCAACTAAAATAGATAAACAAATAAAAATAAGCTAATTATTGTTATTTTTAAAAAATAAAATTTTAATTCAATTGATAATAACTGAGCTTCTATTGTGGATTACACTGCAATAGCTACAAATTTAAGTCCCAATCAAGGTATAAATTGGATGATTTTTATAAGAATTTCATTATAATTAAATATGTAGACGTATATATTAATATGTGTTAGAAACTAATCAATCAATTTATTAATTAATATTAATTATGCTTAAATACTAAATCTTACAGAATAAGTAAATGCAAATGAAGTCAGGGATCAACTGAAATATAACCTTTGCTAATAAATCTATAATAAATACTATCTTATTTCTTTAAATTCAAAAACCTTTACACAAGTAAAAAAGTGATTAATCAGTAATTAGTAAATTAAATACTACCTTCAGATAGCTATGGTTGATAATAAACTGTATTACACTGTTACAGCAACCATCCAATTAAGCTGTCATTTGAGATAAAAGTTGGGTTCAATTTCTAGATATGTTTGATATAAATATGAACCACCTACCTTTCTGAAATCTATATAGATAGTAACTTTTAAATATAAGTCTTGTAAGATCATTTTATTTAAGCCTTCTCAATCATGTGTTAATACTTTGATAATGAGCAGAAGTTATACTATTCAGATTGGTATTGATAAAGTAAGAAAACAAGTGATATATAAGTACCTATAGCTAAAAGTGATCCCTCTATTCAAATTTGATAGTGATTTTGAGATCTAGAATCCCTGAAATTTAATGTTTTGATTGGAACTTGAATTCAACCACAACCTTAATGGGTCTTGACAAATGCCAGATTTTTTTATATTGCATCTAATTTCAAAGTATTGTTTCATAAATGATGGTTTTTCTTTTATTTACGTCTTTTTTACTTCTACTTCTAGAACTACTCGTTTTGTTTCCTTATCTTTAATAAATTTGAAACAATTTACTTAAAATTTAAAACCTTAACTATTTAGATTAATTTGAAATTTTTGGTTCAGATCGACTTCAGATCAGTTTCGAACGATAAAGACATTATTCTAAATGAACGATAATAATATCATTAAATTGAAACAATAACATAATTGTTGAATTGGAATGATAAAATCATTATTCTAATAAAATAATATACCCGCATGTGAATTTTAGTAATAAATTACCAGTCATTTTTAAGCTAGATTTATTTATATCGGTGTATGAAAACATTCATTATATGAAATTTTATTAACCTTTTATCATTTTTTAATATTTGTTTACTTTTATTAAAATTTGTTTTTTTTATTAGCATTAATTTAATAAGATAGTTTTTAACATTACTAATTTTTTAATGAAGCAAATATAAAAAAATTCGTAATAATATCTGAGATAAATGAGTCATCTATCTGGATAGTTTATTATCCGAATAAATTGACTGGATATCCGGATTTGAGCGGATATAGGGTTCATCGGATATCCGGATGGACAGATCCAAACTCTATCTCAGGTCTTCCAGATACTCTTAGAAATGCATTCAACTTAATTTCCTGTAAAAAAATATCAGTAATCCCACTAACTATGCGTTCCTTAATATGATCATCTTCAATCCATTACTATCTCTTGAAGGTTTCACACTCGTCATCACTTTCGTCGGATTCATCATGCTCATCGAATTCATCGCTCGTGTACTTCGTAAGTGTTAGAAAGTCAGTTTGAGTCGAAAAATGAAAGAAAAAAACATATAACCAAAATGTCTTTACTGTATTTATGATACCGACTATCATCATTAGTTCCGGATGACGTACATGACTTATCATCAGTCTTAGCGAGTGCCCGTCTCTTTGGTCTTGGTTCACCTTCCGGATTATCATCCATTGGGCTATTTGAACAAGGCGTAGCGTAAACACTTCGATCTTCGTTATAATCAACAATATATACTTCTGATGTCACAATTAAGGCAATGAGGAGACCCATCTCGCTTATAATCTACAAATAATGAAAGCAAGATAAAGTATGTATTCCTGAAATTATTTGTTATGAATAGTGATAACCGAACAATCACCTTATGTGAATACCATACATCGCCCTTCTCGTTGTCCGTTTCGTTGAAAATGTCATGTTCTACTTCCCTATACAAATTGGATGATTGTCGTTCGGAAGGACTCTGAATGAAGTTTTTTGATCTCGTTATTTAAATCCTACATAAATATAAGGGATAACGTTAAAATAAATTTGCAGTTAAAAATTAGCCATTTCTGCTGATCATCACGATTTCTAGATAAAAAATGCACTCATGTTCCTTTTACCGATCTCTTTCTTTCAAAATGAACATATTATTAGTTCCGCCATTGATCATCCCGCCGTAAATTGTCCCACCATAGATAGATCCACTTTATAAAATTGTTGGATTTTGAAAGTAAATCGAAGACACGTCACTCATTTTTGTTTTCTCCAACTTTTTGGTCAATACCCTATAATGAAAGATTAGGAATTAGTTCTCAACT